TATGATGTAGTATAGAGAATTATGATTAAAAAACTAGGTCCCCCAAGTATTAAAATATAAAATTTATTTGTTTACTTTATTATAAAAAAGCTTATTATATATTAAATGAAACAAAAATAATGTTCAAGTTTATAATACATAAGAAAAATGCAAATAAGTATGAATAGGACCCAAACAAAGCAAATAAGAGTACAACGTGATTGATACAGAATTAGTAATATAAAATTTTTACTGATTTATTCTCATGTCATCCATGTTAAATGAATATTTCTCTTTGAGGATCTCACACCGATCAATTATAGAATTCGTGTCATCATTACAAAATGTATTCCATGTTACATCAAATATACTCCAAAGAGACTCCAAAAAGAGTTGGAAAGTTCAATTAACATAGACGATATTAAAATAAATCAATAAAAGTTTTTATATTATTTACTAATGATAAATTACGCCACGCTGTACTTTCATTTGCTTTGTCTGATTCCTATTGTTTTTAATTTCGAGAGTCCACATCAAAGTTATATTTTTTAGATATTTCAAATAAATATACATAAATCTTTTATATCTGGATGCAGTCATCATCAGAATCATCCGAGTTGCGTCCCTTGATGGTCTTGGGTTTTGAAGGTTTAAATATAAATGGCTTCTTGCCAGTTTCTGATGATTCTTCATCATCATAATTGATCACACCAGATTGTGCAAGACGGCACTGCAATGTTTCTGTAGAAAAATCGTCACAGTTTCCTAATTCCGTAAAGCCCACGATATAATCCTTGGTTTTGCCATTCACAATTAACGCAATTGTAGGTATAATTCTAATACGTAACCGTTCTATAATGCATAAATATATATTACTAATAGAGATAAATATACTTCATATTGCTATATTGCTAAAAATAACAGAAAAATATTTCAACAATACCAGTCAAAAAGGGACATCTTTCAACATTTAGTTTACAAAATCTTGCTTCAATATGTTTCTTTGCAAGAATCTTAAAATGTTGATCCACTATTTTACATCTTGGAGAATCATCTTTATAAAATAAGCAAACTATATTCTCTGACTTTTTAGATACTTCAAAAAATTCTTTCTCATCATATAACTCGGCATATTCTCCATGACCCTATAACAATATGAAGTTATATATATATATTTTATTATGTATTATTTTGTATAAATTATACAATTTAGCATAAATTTATATACATATTTCTAATATGTACAATATTTAAGAATTCTAGTATTAAATATTCTGAAACAAATAAATATGTCAAGCACGTTACCGAAACTAGCCAATTCTGCTTCTGTTTTTGCATTCGTTTGAGCTCATTCAGTCTATGTGCACGTAATTTTTCATAATCATTGATATCAAAATTGTCTAATTTGTCTAATTCTGCATCCAACTGCTGTTCAACATGATTGGCAACTTCTATGACTTTTTGTTGAAGTACAGCCTCCATATTGCTGTCAATTTAGAAAAATGACTTATAAATACCTTCTATGTTCATTATTTTCTTATCGAAATGTCATAAATAAATGAGATACAATGAGATACAACAAATTACAATGCAAAACTGCTTTTCATA